CACCTTACTGGTATCTCCAAGGCCCTTAATGTAAACTCTCTGCCCTTACTTGTACCATACCACACTGCTTTGATCTAGTTTGACTGGGCATGTTCAGGAAAACAATTGGTGCATGTTAATACTCAAGCCAAGTGTGGCCATTTGGTGAGTGGATCAAAGATTTTGATTTTTCTCAACTGTACATAAAACATGTTCTCACCTGAGAACTGAGCACAACACACATCCCCGATGGTTGGATAAAAATCAGAGCGTGGAGTCACTTGGCCACAGTATTCACTGAGGGATTCCTGAAGCTCCGCAAGCTTGTCTGTAGACACAAATCACATCTTAGACACAGGGACTGAGTTCCTTGTCTTCCAGAAGGTGATGGAACAAAGAAAACGGACTCACGGCCGCTCTGCAGCTGCTGACAGAAGAAGTCCTCAGGTGTCTGGATGTGGGCAACCACTCCACAGAACTCGTCCCCCACCTTCAAAGTCAGCATTTTGGGGATGAGGGCATTTCTGTCTATAACGATCTTGTTCTCAGGGGTCACTCTTCCCATGTCCTCAGGAGTGCCTTGTCAGAAAGCAGAAAGATGCATCTTGGCCTCATGTGGGAAACAAAACATTAACAAAGTAACAAGGAAACCACAAACATTTGAATCACTTTAGAAGAAAGACTGGGTATGGTGCCAAGAATGAGTGGCCACAGCCCTGGGTGAGGAAGCAAGCCCTGTGGTGTACCGACCGACCTTCAGAAAGGGAGTTTCTCTATCACCAAAAGCTGGAAGAGTCTGAAGAAAAACTATGGCATAAAAACATCAGCCCTAACTAAAGTGTTCTCCAGTAAAATACTCAGTTTCTACGGAGCTCAAGGAAATACAATTTAGAATTAGTTTTACCACAAGGTCTCTAGGAGACAGAGCAAAACACACTTTACAGTGAAATGGAACCCTACAGAAAACCATTTGCTACAATACACTGAATTTAATCAAAATTACACTTAAAATGCATTAATTAGTTCAAATGCGGAATGAGTGACATCAATACCATGTGGCAGGGCTCAGACTGACATCGGGGATTCGAGCAGCAGGGGCTTTGAACACCATAAAAACAACTCGGGATACAGAGACCTCTGAGGAATAAAAACAAAACAGATGGCCTACAAAGCTCCCACCTTCTCCAGGCTGGGAATTTAGGGTCAAGACAAAGACATCATAACATCAACATATCAGAAGTCTGCAAGACAAACCAAGAGGACGATACTGTCCAGATAAAACCTGAGGTCAGTTTCACTGTGTTAACTCAGATGTGCAAATCAGCAGATAAACAGTTTACAGACTTAATGTCACCACAGACCTGTCAGGCCCCCAAGACCAAGGGAACGCTGTGACAGCCCCAAAAGCAGAGGGAGTCTGCTTTCTAGGACTAACTTCCCACAAGGCAGTGCAAGAGATTCTTGAAATTAGGTCAAAATTTCTCTGAAATGGATAGTTGGCCCCAAACCTTAGCCAAGGTAAATACGAATGATCTTGAATGCAACAAAGTAAATATCAAAATATTTTTATGTGTTTCAGAAAAATCAAAATATAAATGATGACTTGGACAAAAGAAAAACTTAATAGTAAGAAAAATAAACCACCTGTTGTTGCACAGGAAGAGATGAAGATCTGCCAGTTTTTGGGAAGTTCAATGTCCTGTCAGCATCTGCTGCCCCACATCGAAGCAGGCTGAGTGAAAGGTCATAATGTGTTGCCGGAGGGCTTCTCTCCAGGTTCCCCAAGCCCCGCAGTCCCACAATCCACTTATAAAATAATCACTCAGACGCTTATATCACTTATAAACTGTATGGCCGTGGCAGGCTTCTCGCTAACTGTTCTTTTATCTTAAATTAACCCATTTTTATAAATCTATACTTTGCCACATGGCTGGTGGCTTACCAGAGTCTCTACATGCTGCTTCTCCTGGTGGTGGCTGCAGTGTCTCTCCTTCCTTCTTCCTGTTTCCCCAATTCTCCTCTCTCTTTGTCCCGCCTATACTTCCTGCCTGGTCACTGGCCATCAGTGTTTTATTTACATAGAGTAATATCCACAGCAATAATGCTCTCCTTCAGCTATGCAAACTCTGGGGAGTATCTACCAAGGGCTCCTGTGACCTCACAAAGCACATGCTGAGAGCCTACTGTATGGCATCTGGTGTGAAAGCAACTGGGGGGAGCTGATTAAGGAACCTGTGCTCTAATGAGACTGTCTTGTGGGCAGGTGAGCCCATCAACAGACTGCACGCAAGTGCAGTGGGCACGAGAAGTCTTCAACAGAAAGGGCAGAAGCCCTGCACCCAGGCCTGACTTCAGTGCCTCTGGGCAGATAACAAGAGACAGTGTCTTAGGGTTTCTACTGCTGAGAGGAGATGCCATGACCAAGGCAACTCTTCTAAAGGATTTAACTGGGGGCTTGATCACAGTTTCAGAGTTAATCCACTATCATTATAGGAAGGGGAGTGGGGGAGCACGCTGGCACTCACGGTGCTAGAGAAGCAGCAGAGAGCGACATCCTATCCACAGTCAGAGAGAGAGCGCCTGGCCCTGGCATGGGCTTTCAAAGCCTCAAAGCCTACCTCTAGGCACTCACTTCCTCCAACAAGGCCACCCCTTATCCTTCTACTCTTTTTAAATAGTGCCACTCCCTGGTGAGTAAGCACTCAAATATATGAGCCTATAGGACTAGCCTTACTTGTTCAAACCACCACAGACAGTGTACAAGGTGTGTCAGCCTGGCCAGGTCCGGGGATAGCACAGCTTGAGGTCTTCAGGATGTTTAGCAATCTTCTATCCCTCTGTCTTCCCAGGAGGCACTGCTCAACATTGCTGTCACTTTCCCCAGGGGATGGAGTCGGATGTGGCCCACTCAGCACAGCTGAGACATCCTGTGGTCTGCTCTTGTTCACACCCCAAGGTTAAGCTCCCTCTCCTGCACCTTTTCTTGATAGTCAATTCCAGCCATACCTCACTTTCAGTTTTTTAGACCCAACCATGTCCTTTTAAATCGATGCCTTTTATGAATGTGTTCTGTATTTCTTGGAAGAAGGTTCCTCCCCATCTAGAGTCTATATTTCTTGCTTGGTGTGCTGTCACTTCAAGACAACTTCACCCCAAGTCTCAGCAGGCACCCCAAGTCTCAGCAGGCACCTTTCCAGGGGGTTTTCTCTAACCCATCCTGGCATACTCTTTCTGTGAACCACAGAATTCCCTGCCATGGTACCTTTATGGGTCATGGAACCTGAGCAGGGTGGGCAGAGTTCCCTGGGCCCTTCTGCTCCTTGCTGCAGACAACCACAATGCATCTGTGCTGCTGATGTGTGATGCCCTTCCCCAGAAGCACTTACCTTTCTGCTGCTCTGGCAAAATTTTCACAATCTCTTCCTGGCTTTCTCCTCACAACTTTGTACTCTATGGGCCCCGAATTTACCTCATTTTTTTCTACTCTGCACCATCAACATTTATGGTCCTAAGCATGACTCGTAATTTTTTTATTATTGTTTGTTTTCTCCTCTAGATGGCAAAGAAATACTCAATGGTTTTCACCAAGATTTCTGTTTTAGGGATGTCACGAAAGCAAACACCATAGCACACAGGCAGGAGATAAAAGATAACCAGGGAAGGCTGTTTCCTAAGGAGACGACAGTGAGGGGAGAAAACACGGGTGAGGGAAGAGGGAGGGGAGACACACCGGGTGTCTGGGGAGGAAAACCAATAACTGGAAGCCAAACAGGCAGGACAGGAAGGAGGAGGAGGGTGGCAGATCTCAGGGCGGTGCAGTCTGACTTGGGGACGAATAGTCACCAACCTGTTGTCACCTCTGCACCATGGACAAGAGCTGTGTCTACTCCAAAGCAAGTGACAAAGGAGCAAAGGGGAAGAGGCCACAAAAGCTATGCACATGAGCAAGTCATGAAAGATGCTCACAGTAAATCAACTCTCTTGTCAAACTTGATGGACACACACACACACACAGACACGCACACATACACACATACATACACACACACATACACACACACACACATACATACATACACACACATACACACACACACATACATACACAAACACACACACACACACGCACATACCACACACACATACACACATACACACACACACATACACACATACATACACATGCACATACACACACACACACACACGCACACCACACACCACACCCCCCCCCACACACACGCATACACACACACGCATACACACACACGCATACACACACACGCATACATACACACACACACACACACACACACACACACACACACACGCATACACACACAGAACAAAATTTCAGAGATCTCCTGATTATTGGTAAAAACCCAGGCCAGGAATCAAATCAAGCTAAGGCAATATGAGCTAAAAAGCCCTTAACTTCCAGTGTCGCTTCATAACCTCTAATGATCAATTAGGACTGATCTGGAAAACAGACTCAGGAGGGACAGGAGGAGACCGAGATTAGACAATGTGTTTCTAAATGAAAACTGCCCTTAGTGTGAAGTTTATGGAATCCCTTGACAATGCGACCACCAAGCCTTGTGGGGTGAGGACACTGCTGGAGTCACTGCTCAGCTTGAGCCTGGGTACTCACTTTGTTCCACACTCTGCTTCTCGGCGTTCTGCTCATCTGGTCTCACACCATACCCCATTTCCACAAGCACATGGTCCAGCTGTTTTCCTAAGAGGTGATTAAGAAAATGTACCTCCACTGAGACACTATCTAAAGCATCGCAGGCAGAGGAAAAGTAAGAGACAAGTCAACCACGGGCCTCAGACATTCTAAACCTCACACAGGCTTTGCTTCACCAGGCCAGTTCACAGGCAAAATGACACTCAGAAAAATCCAAAAAAAAAAAAAAAAAATTCCCAGTTACTTAACCAAAATTTCATGAAAAGATTCATCTTCAAAATTCTGAACAATAAAGTCAGTTATTGCTCAGAAGCATGTTTAAATTAACCATTGTGTATGAGAAGAAATTAAAGGCACAAGATTTCATCACACTAGAAATGACTCAAGAGAGATGACTTGGCCTCATATCCATGGTCTGTTGCCTCTCTGAGAAACACATGGGAACTAAATAGCACGAAAGACAGACTACGATCTTACCTGAACTTTCTATCACAACATCGACAGCACAGGTGAGCACTCCCTCCTCTAAGACGTCCATGACTGTGACCGAGCAGTACTGCTCCAGGAGCAGGGCCTTGACGGACACCACACAGGCCTCGCTCCACTCTCCCTCAGCTGGGATGACACCTGCCACAAAGCACTTTATAGCCTGAAAGATTTTGTGCAAGTTATTCACAAAAATCAGTATTTTAAAATAAAATTTTCTAATTAATTATTTAAAGAGTTGTTAAAAGAATTTATTTCATGCTAAAAAGAATCAAAAGCCTTCAATACTGATCAGGTAAAACAGATATTGACCTCTTTGATGATTCTACTGGCAATGGTAACTGAAGCTTCAGAAATAAATATTAGGATAAAAATTTTACTTTTATTATAGATCAGTTCTGGCTTCTTTCCAATTACACACACACACACACACACACACACACACACACACACACACACACACACACACACACAGAGAGAGAGAGAGAGAGAGAGAGAAATGACGAATTTTATAGAGCTGGTAAGATGTGCCTGAAAGAGTTACTTACAAGAGGTGCTACTTAGAGAGGGACAGCAGAGAGAATGCAGCTACAGGGTATCCTCCACCCGTCAGAGACCGACAGTGGACACAGAGACAGGAAAACAGCAGCACACACTGCATCCACGGAGCACAGGCCTGCTCCCGGGGATGAGGGCAGGGATTTACGAAGAAGAGACTCACAGAAGGAGGAAACAAGTCAATGCTCTTGTTTAGCGGGTGGATTCTGTCTATGGGAATTACTTCTTCATTTCCGTAGTCAATGTACAAGACTTGAGCCTTCTTCTGTAACACATCAATGCCTTGTATTATCGCTCTGTTCCAGGTCTGCAAGGGAAAGAGGTGACGTTGTACTTTAAAACAGAATCTCACAATCCTAGTCTAAGAAGCCATCAACTAGCCTAAGGGCAGACAAATGAAAGGTTCCCATTTCCTCTGTAGGCACTCAAAGAGTCAATATCCTTTTGATGAGAAATCCCTAAGATGGTCTAATTAGGACAACTCGAGAGTCCTTCTAGCCCAGATGACTACCACACACTGCCTCAGCCACACACAAGCGTGACTTTGAAGGCTAGCAAGCAGCAGGTACACAGTCACTTGGGGAGGAAGCAGCAGAAGCCTGGGGGCCAGGGCTGGGAGGAGTGTGACTAGGGTGACGCCAGTTTGCCCCAAGCCAACTCCTGCAGCTTTAATGGCTTCTGTCTTCATGAAGTGGCCCCAACAAGGTAAGCTGAAGCATCGTCAGTGGTTACCTGATCAACCGTGTACTTGGCAACACAAACTTCCCCCTTAACAGGCAGATAACCATCTTCAGGCACCATATTTGCATATGTTTCTTTCAAGCTTGTAGAGAGTTGGTTCATGTATTCTAAAACCTCCGAAGAATACAACTGGACATAAAAGTTACTTGGGTGCTTGAATTCAGTAATTGTGCCCTTTCAAAGACAGAAAAAACACAAAACGAGTTCCTTAAATTTTATACCTACTATAGAGAAAAGTAGTGCACAGTTTTCATAATTTTCATTGATTTCATCAGGTGTGCTTAGTTACACGGTAAACTCAGTGTAAGTAACAACAAACAAGGAATAAAACCCAGCAGTTCTTTAGCTCTCTCTCCATGTAAGCAAAAACAAATACCTTTATTTCCATGGTTTTCTTGAGTTGGAGACTTCTCAAGTCAGAAAGCATCACTCTCTCAGTACCAGTAGTCATGTCTTTAGTAATCCCAAGGGGACACTCACTCTGCTTGGGAAAAGCACACAAAGCTGTGACTACAGGCATGACTTTTGATGGCATGGTGGCCACAAAGTCTTCCACTTTAAGCATAAATAAGAAAGCATAGGAGCTGGGAAGGCCTCTAAGAACTATGAGCCACTTTTCACAGGCAGGGCACACAACCCAGGGATCCAAAGCAGGAGTGAGTAAGTGAGTGACAGGCAAGATATCCTTCAGGCAGTTACACAGATTAATCCACCTAACATTTAAGAATGTTTATTTTGGTTTTTGAAATAGACTCTCACTCTGCAATGCAGACTGACCTGAAATTATATAGACTTAGCTAGCCTAGAACTCAAAGCTACCATCCTGCCTCAGCCTCTTAAATGCTGGGTTTGCAGGTGCAAGCCACTATACCTGGCAATGTTTCAGTTTAAATGTCTACCGTTAGTGTTTTATGAATACTGAAGTGTTTTTTTTTTCCAGTAGAAGGTAGTAGCAGCTACAGAGAGATGAGAATTCTCTATGAATATGAATTGGACACAATGGCAGTATGAATGCTTTGGTCCATATTGTTACCTAAATGGGGGAGAGCTAACATAAAACAGAAGAGAGACAGGCCTAGAATGGAAGACCCACAGATGGAGAACTGTACTAACGGGGCTGTAAAGCAAGGGCTCGGTAGTAGTCCACATTATGTTATACAGAAACATGGCTGTCTCAACAACATTTTGAGGAAAGACTGGAAATAAGCAATTCTCAAAAGTCCCAAGCAGCCACCCCACCCCACCCCTATGTGAAATTACTAAGGTTTTGTTTTGTTTAGAAATAAACACAGTCATGCTGTGTAAGTTCAAACATCTTAGCTTGCTCGAGTCCTCTTCATAAAGGAGTTGTTTGAAATCTATCTCAATGCTAAAACATGTCCTACCTCATTTTTCCCTTCAGTGCTCTTCGTTTCAAACGGTGATTTATTATCTTCAAGCTTGTGCAAACTGAAATAAGACAACTGATTATAATATTTACAGTACAAAGAAACTGTAATAAAGAGGTCATAAATCTCAATTTTGTTAATTCTCAACCACCAAAATTTAGGAGAGCAAAAACTTGCAGAGAGTGATGTCGATAGCAGAGGACAGTAACCTGATACGACGCGGACAGTCCACCGTGAGTGTGTGCAGTGTGTACTCTAAAGCCCCCAATGAGAAGGCCTAGAGCAGCCCAGGCTTTGGTGTCCTTGTCTATGAAATACGGACAGTCCTTGCATCCCATAGACAACTGGTGTACAGACTAGACCACACCTCATGAGTCACGGTGAGGGTGCAACACTAACACCCAGGAACATACACATGACAACAAGTGGGCACCATGAAATTCTAGCATTAGAAATTCAGATGAGGGGCTGGCGAGTTGGCTTAGCAGTTAAGAGCATTTGTTCTTGCAAAGGACCCAGGTTCAATTCCCAGCACCCACATGGAAACTCACTACTTCCTCAGGCATCAGACACACATGTGGTGTACACACACACACACACACACACACACACACACACACAAATAAAATGAATCTGAAATAAAAATTCACTTGAGGCTCTAAATCTTGCTAAGCACTAGCTAATGCTTCAGACTTGTAAGCAGGCAAAGCACCGCCACACACACGGCTTGGGTTTGCCTCGTTCAGGAAACCCCATTCATCAGAGCGTGCCTTCACTGTCCCAGTGGGGAACCAACAGTGCTCACCTTTGCTGTACAGGTCTGCAGATGGTGCTGTGGGAAGACCAGTCCCTCCTCTGGCACGCCGTGGAGCAGTAGTATGTCTGCTTGCACTGGGAACACCTCAGTGAGCCTGTGGGGCACAGCCAGTCTCAGTCTGAGGCACTGAAGAGGGGGCTGGAGTGATACCTCAGTGGTTATGAGCAATGACTGCTCTTCCAAAGGACCCAGGTTCAATTCCCATCACCCACATGGTGGCTTACAACCCTCTAACTTCAGTTCCAGGGGATAGCCTGCCCTCTTCTAGTTTCCTCAAGCAATGGATCACGTACATGGAAAACAGTCACATAATACCCACAAATAAAATACCCACACATAAAATAAAAACTGATCATTTTAAAAATATATATATATACACAAAACACTTGAGAGCTGAGGTTGGCCAGACATCACTGTGCTAATTAATCATTGAGGAAGACGGTGCAGACACCAGGCTGTTCAGGGTCAGGCCCTGGGAAGAATTTTCAGGCTCTCTCAAATGCAGAAAGAAAAACAAGGCTGAGAGTGAGCTCAAGCTCAGGCTGGAGATGCAGACTTCCAGGACAGCCTGGAACACACATTGCAAAATGGGAAACGGAGGCACAGGGTGCCAGGGTGGGAAGACACGGCGGGCACAGGAAATGATTTTCGTGTGTCATTAAAAACAAAATAGTGAAGCGTTACACCTGGGGAAACAGGGACACTTTTGAAATAAAATCCTATCAGCCTCCAGGGGGAAGGAAAACAATCTAAAACTAAGAAACAAAAAGATCTTAAATGCTTCAATTCTAAAAATAAAAAAACTGCATTTCCAAGCAGCCAGTAAGCTTACAGAAAAGTTGGTAAAGATGGCAGGTCCTGAGGAGCCGACAGACCAGAACAATGAGCCACATCGTCTACCATGGGGAAGGCTTTTGTCACAGACACCACCACAAACACTGACAAAGACACTGGACAAGCAGAAGTCATGACCATGGAAAGTGACGTGGGAAGTGCTTTGTGGTTCCTTATAACCTTTGTCTCACATGTCTACTCCTGGGTGGACACCCAGAGGCCTCCACAGCCTGGGGCAAAGATGCTGAGAGCTCTACCCACCAGAGCCAAAAGACAGACATGAGCACAACTTCTCTTACCAAGAACAGACAGACAGACAACCTCCCAAAATACCACATTCTACACAGCAAAGGTGCACCGCCACCTGTTGTTCATTTTAGCAAATCAACTGCAAAACACTCTGATACAATCATACAATTACTACTGCTCAACAAACATTAGTCAGTGATAAATCCATTGACAGATTAATCTGATAACCACTCGAAATGAAATGAAATGTAAACAAATGGGCCCATGGCTATGTAATTCTATTCATGTGACAGTGCACAACACAATGGGGGGGCAGGTAGAATGATAGGGGAGGGACAAGAAAGCAGGTTCTATCTTATTAAGATGTGTGTTTGTGCATTTCAGGGCATGTAATCTTTTTTAAAAATCCTAAGATTAATAACTCAGTGAGAAAGCAGGAGGAACAGGAAGGCATATGAAGATCAACAGGCTGTTGGAGATGAACGGACAGACAACATTACATACACCATTTATAGTCATGTGTTTAATGCTCATCATGATAAAACATTCCTAAATGCACAGAAAGACCATCCTGTGGGCATCAAAAGTAAACTTGCTTACCAAACAGACCACAGCGATGGCAGGTTGTTGACCGCAGGGGTGGTCCTAGAGAGTTGAAGAGTGCTGGATTATTTACAGACAAGGCATTCTCAAACAACTTGTGGGATTTTTTTGATTTTTCAGGAGACACGTTATTGTTGGGCTTCTATGAAGAACAAAGAACAGCAGTATTAGAATGTCTCTTTAGCTCTACACATGGGACTGCCTCGCTGGTAACAGTGTGGGTAAGACTTTTACATACAACTGAAACCCTCAACTTAGCATACAAAGCAAGCATAAGGTCAACTCTGAAAGGGAGCAGAGAAGCACTAACTATGCTCAATTGGTAAAATGATGACCGCCCCCCCCCCAAGTTTTATGTATATAACGTAAAATTTACAGTAACTACTAGGAAACCTATTCAGAGATATGTACCAATCAAAACGAAGTTATGAAGTGTTCAATTAACCCACAAGAATTCAAGGGAGATATGGGTGGCAGAAAAACTTTCAATATGGGTAAACAGATTAATGAGAGGTCACTGAAATATATCTTGTGTGAGAAATTCAAGTAGTAAAAAGATGAAACATTACCTCATGAACGTGAATTAACAGAGACCAGGGGACAGTGTGTTACTATCAGATAAAAGATTACAAAGGAGAGAGAATTTCCACAGAGGATGGAATACAACCAGTCAATCCTCAAGATGACCTCACAACCCTAGGCTTGTAAGGGGTCAATAGCAAAGCTCCATGAGATGAAGTATAACTGAGAAGAGCAAGAGTCAGTGAGTAGAGCTGGAGATGGAAATGTTCGCTGCCAACAACTGACAGACTAGACCGAAGAACAACAAGAATCAGAACTCGGCATCGCCGTCAGTCAACAGGCCCTGGTAGGGATGCACATTTAGCCACTGTAACCAACAAAGGCAGAACACGCATTCTCTTCAAGTGCTAACAGAATACTAACAGCAAGCCTGTAACCTAACTTTAAAGACTTGAGGGATGGGGCACAGCTCAGAGACGTATGTCTCCTGTGCTTACCATTCAGGAGAGCCAGGTTCCATCTCCAGCACAAGAAAAGGAGCATGGAGCTAAGAAAGGATGGTTGAAATAGAAATCACACAGAGATTTCTCCAACCACAATAAACACTATTCGGGAATGAACACTCAGAAGGTAATAAGTTCATTATGCAAAACACTTGGAAACTCAAAAACAGTCTTCTAAATAACATGTGGGTCTCAGAGGATGAGTTAAGCCAACTGGACAGGAAAAAAAAATACAAGTTATCAAAACTTATGGGACACTGTCAAAGCTCCATTGAGAGAAAAATCAAGAGCACCACATGAACAAAAGTACCAAGTCAATGACTTGATATCTCCAAGTAAAATAAATAAAATGGAATACAACTGGACAACATACCATACAAACATAACTAATCCAGAACAGACTGAACTCAGCATACATAAACATTGACTACATAAGTAATACAGACCAGTTTTTAAAATTTATAAACAAACACAACATGAAATACTTTGAACAGAGTTATAAATATTAAGGAAATTCCATCACAGTTTAAGGCCCCCCCCTCAAAAAATGACAAAATTTTCACTAGAGAATTATACCAAATATTTCAGTAACAAAAATAATGTACTGTGTCTTTTTGAGGAAACAGAAGAGAATACTTTTATTGAGGTCAATATTTCATTGACATCAACCACACAAACAGTAAAAAGTTAATATCCCATGACCACATGCTATTTATTTCAGAGGTACAATTAAGATATTAATGTAACCCACAAAAATAACAGACTAAACTATCAGTCACTATATTAATCATTATAGTAAATATTCTTGATTCCCAAAATAAATGACTTCAACAAAGACACAAGGCGAAATAGAAAGCCCTATTGTTTCTGCTTCTTAGCAATAAACTCAAGGACACATAAATGTAATCACTCAAAAAGCATTCTTCAGCATAAATCGACACAGATTTAACACAGAGACGCTAAAAACCGCAGAGTGAAAGAAATCAAAGGCCACACAAGTGGAGACATGAGTGTCTCCACGAGAAGGCTGAGTACGGAAAAGGTGCCTAACTCTCCATCCGAGGACAGGGTTAATGCTGTTCCGGCCAAAGTCAGAACAGCATTACTCTGTAGATATGGGAGCAAGATTATTCTAATCAATCGTGTGAAGGCAAAGAAACTTTTCTTGAAAACAAAATAAAGTTGAATGATCAGTGCAATTTTAGGACTTCTCTGGCTATGTGACCATGATGTTGGCTGGAGGACAGAAAATGAATGGAAAGCCCTGAGGAGCAGAGATGCTCTGTGGTGTCTAGAACTTCAGACTATCCTCCAATGACGTGACTCACTCTCAATCAAGAAAAGCTAACCTTCCCACAAACAACACCCAGGACAACAGGATACCTACAAATAAGACTAACCACAACCCAAGCTCCTTAAACAAAATTAGCTCAAAAGAGATCAAAATACAAAACCATGAAACATTCTCAAGAGGAACATGTCTGAGTGATCTAGAGTAGCAAAGAGTTTACAGTCTTAACACCCAAGGTTCAACACTCACAGAAGAATCTGATCACCAGATATCTTCTAAATGAAGCCTTTTGTTCTGCAAAAGGCTTCAACAGGAGATGAAAAGACAAGGCTGGAGGCAGGAGCAAGGCCAGACAAACCATGCTTCATTAAAAAACAAAAACAAACAAAAAAAACCTTGGATTCTGAAGCATAAAAAGAATTTTCAAAATTTAAGTTAAAAAACTTAAACAATGGGCTGGAGAGATGGCTCAGAGGTTAAGAGCACTGGCTGTTCTTCCAGAGGTCCTGAGTTCAATTCCCAGCAACCACATGGTGGCTCACAACCATCTACAATGAGATCTGTCTTCCTCTTCTGGCCTGCAGACAGAACACTCACTGTATACATAATAAATAAATAAATCTTTAAAGAAAAAAAAACTTAACCAAATTAGAAAATGGACAAAAGCCAAACATTTCTTCAGTATATCACTGACTTTTCATCACATAATAAAATACTAAAAATCCAGCCCAATCTCCAAGGAATTACTCAGAGAGAGAAAAGCATGTAATAGAATTCCACCAAGAAAACATTCTCAAGATGACAAACTGTAGAACTCTGGATCCACTGAGGAGCAGTTGCTGGGGTTCAAGGAGGAGCAGAGCCTATGGAGGCGGCCACAGAAAGGCACGGAAGGGACCCTATGGTGACAGCATTGTTCTCCATTAGTGCAGGCTATGATCCTGGAGGTCCCCAGATAAAGGTTACACAGGACCTCACTCTAACCCTAACACCTGCCTGCATGGGAATCTACAGTTAAACAAAAGGACTTTTCCCTAAGAAGGGTTCTAGACTAGAGAGAAGTAAACTTGACCTTGAATCCTAACAAAAAGGAAAATGCCTCTTTAGTAGCACAGTCCAAAAAATGTGAGGATGGAAAAAAGAAACTTACAGTTTTGACTTGGTTGGGTGGCGAACTGTTTTCAAGGCTTAATGGCGACACTGGGTTTCCTAGGAGAGGAAGATACAATTCCTATCAAATGCCAAGTACTACTTTTCACCTCCGATAATGTAAAATAGCAACTCCGTGAGGCCCAAGCAGTAGCTCTCCCCCTAACAACCTCCCAGCCACACTACAAAAAAGCAAACAACATCTTCCTTTTTCTGGCAGAAAGAAAGAATTTGCTAGGGTTACAGGTATGCATATCATTTCTTGACTCAATAGTCAAGCTTCTCCCACTGTGAACCTTTCTCCAGTCAGAAAGACACTCTCATACCTTTTGATGACTACAATTTTGCAGTGTTTAAATGAATAACCTAACAAGTTAGTTGGATTCCTGCATGCTTTCTCCTCTACACGCAGTCACCCATGACATACTGCTTTTAAGTATCTCAAAAGAATATGGCCTCAGACAGGAAAGGAGCGTCAAATGCTCTTCTCAGGTAACTGTTAATGCTTTTCCTCTAATCACACATCAGTACTCAAATGAAGATTAAGAATTAGTGCTAATATACAGGAGGATTAAACAGGGAGGGGGAAGAGGGATTAAGGAGGGAGAGGAGAGGAACAACTCACACTATGGACCATTTGAGGGGTTGTACGGAAACCTACTACTGTAAAAGCTTCTTAAAATACATACATGTATAAAAGAAATCAAAATGGAGTCACCAAAAATAACATGGGAGGCAGTGCCCCAACTTTAACCACCAAGTGAAATCTCCAGTGCCAGGGATGGATTACATCTAGCTGAGTCGTTGGCCAAGTGACTCCATGGAAAATTTCCAAACATCTTGGGGTATTTAAGACTACTGGTTACTCTCCACAAATTGATGGTAAAACCCTACTACTTAAGACAACACTTACATATCACTGAACACAGAGAAGTCAAGCTGGCGCCTCACTATAGCCTTCACTCCTACTGACTCGTGTTCATGGCACTAGGAGGCACTCGGCACATTACCAGAGGGGAAAGGTAAACACCAGGCCAGCTACAAACCCTGAAGTCTACGACAGGTGACCTGCCTTCAGGATACACTGGTGTGATAGTGGCACCAATATATTGTGAGAATAACCAACTCACTACCCTTTGATTGGGATTTAAGGCCCACCCATGAAATGGAGTCCATGCTTGACACTGCCAAGGTGGCCAAGAAGTTAGGAAGGCCATGAACCTAGGGGGAAAACAAATACTACTGTTCTGCTAGAGGAACATAGCAATAAAATGACTCTTAGCATTCTTCTATACCCAGAGATGAGGGCCTTGTTCAGCCACCACCAGAGAAGCCCCGCACAGCAGATGGGAACTAATACGGCGTCCCACTTTGAGACACTGGATCCTAAATGGGATGTCTTTCTCAAACTCCTCTCCTCAGGGCTCAGAGATCTGTGAGGAAGAGGAAGTGGAAAGGTTCTAAGAACCAGAGAGGATGAAAGACACCAAGGAAACAGACACCTGCTGACACACATGAACTCAGAGATGGTAGCGGCATTCACAGGGCCTGCACAGGTCCAAGCCAGTGGAATCTCAGCCCTGAGAGGGGGAAGTAGACAGGATTTCCATTCCTAACCAAGAAGCTATCTGCAACTGACCTCTGTCTACTTACAAAGGAATCTGACTGGGTAATTAACCACATGGGAGGGCAGCCTCAGGCCAGCAGTCGATGTCAACATAAAGTGGGTTCCATGGTATGCCTGTGGATGTTTTCTCATGTTACTCTGTGTGTGTGTGTGTGTGTGTGTGTGTGTGTGTGTGTGTGTGTGTATGTGTTACTAATCTTTTGCTTATATATTATGGTTTCTGATTTTGTGTTTATGAGTTTTGTGAGTTTCTTGTGCTTTAAAAAAAATCTGGTTTGACTGTTTTCTAAAGAGATAAGAGAAAGTGTGCAGTTGGGTGGGTGGGTCTGGAAGGAGTTGCAAGAGGGGAAACCCTATTCAGAATACGTTAGGTGAGAAGAATTTATTTTATATAATATAATATATATATACATACATATATTATATAAAAATACAGTGTGGAGCCCCAGACCACGTCAGTAACTTCTACAGTTGCATTATTCAGTTCACACTTCAGTGGAGAACACTGGTTTACTCAGTTTCCAAGAGTTGTCCGATGTTGGCATGTCAACATGTCGATGTTGATGTCCAATGTCAGCATTACCATGCATGAAGCTCTTAAAGGCAGGCAGATGTACCTGAGATTCTAATTTACCTTAACAGTGTTTTAACTTAGTGCAAAATATTTTCTGTTGCCCTTTCAGTAACAAACTGTTAGCTGTTTGCAAAATGGTTTCTCAAAACTTAAGTCTGAAGGAGGCCTGGCATCCTTTTTTAGGTTACAGTCCTATGCTTTGCCATAAATTGGGAGCATTCCTTTCTTCCTTGTACAAAATACAAAAAAGATACTTCTACACAAAACATTAAGGTTTAACATGGTAATTTTCATTATTCCATAGAAAGTATTTTTTTTAACAAAACTGGCATTTCTGAGTTTGCTTACTAGTTCATGGCAATGAAAACACTCAAGGACCACTAACTAGCCCAGGCTGGTGCTGGACCTAAACTGAGCTATGAGGTAAAAGCAGTTCGTACGTACATCTTTAGTTTTGACTTAAGGGCTTCCTCGAGTCCAAGGGTCACACTTTGGACTGGATTAACACAGCATTAAAAGAGCACATCTCACACATCCAGATATTAAATCCTACTAGGCCCTCCTCTCTTTAAAGAGAAAGCTTTCAGAATCAGGGAAAAAAAATTATTTTAAAGCAAATCACATGAAACTATTAACATTGTAACTACATGTCTGTGGACTACTATGTGCAAGACAGTTTTAAGTCAATTTCACAATTCCCATTATAAAACACCACAATCCATCCTTTCCACATCCCTGGGGGAGGTCATCTGTAGTCATTCCCTTCTGTGGAATCTTTTCTGCGATTAATGAATCCAAGGACACTCCTTGGTAGTTGCTTTCCCATCTAAATAATAATCAGATGCAAGAGCTCTTCTGTAGTCATTGGCACTGTTATCCCACCGGCATTCAGTCTTAAATGAAGTCAAACAAGCCATCAGAATCGCGTAGGAAGGGTGCAGCTCTCACTCACCTGTTGGTAATGTCTTCCGGTCTCCTTTGGTCCCACAGACTTCTCCATTGATACAAGCAGGGTTTGAAGAGATCACCGAATTGTCTTCCTGACTAGTTAAATACGGTTTGCTTTGCTCACAAAGCAAGAAACTGTTCTTTTTATTTCCACTCTCTGGGCTTTTGAGTCTGAAATTGGGATGGTTATGCTGTGCTACAGGGCTTCTTAGTGAGTCCTGTGGTGGAAGCTTGCTTTCCTTTTTCTCAAAATTAAATGGCTCTGCCATTTTACAAGTAGAGGCTTCCAAATTATTTCGTGGCATCATATTAGGTGGCAAGTTAATATTCATTGAAGTCTGAGGAAAGAAATATATTCAAGAGGTGAATTGCCAAAGTAGAACTATAAACCCAGGGGACTGTTTTCAAACATTTTATATCAGATAATTCCTATAAACAATACCATGCAGACTTAACCTTGCTATCAAAATCTGGAATACAGTACACAAATATTTACTTATAAGTATAAATTCCAGGCTTGGTAGACTCACTTACACCCACTTGAGCATGAAAAGTGTCGTCTCAGAGATCCACACCATTCTTTATTCTGAAGTACCAGGGACAGAAAAGCCCTTTCACAATTGAAAACACTATTTCCTGTGTGAAGCCTACTTCTTCCTAGTGGAGTATGATACAGTCTATCACTTAAATCAAGCTGCTACTCACTCTGCTTCCTACCTTTTGCCAGGCCGACTCTAACATCATGAACTACCACTTACCCCGAAGGCCCTGCCTCTCCCACCTGCCTGCTCATCAGAGCCATCTTCCTCGAGTCCGCTCAGCTGACCCCTGTTCTCTCTGACTTCATCAAGCATCTGCTTTGACAATCTCCAGCTGAGCTTCATAAGCTGAAAATAAAAATGTATCTCTTTCAAGGACCTATGTGTGTAGCTTCCTCTGAAAACGAGTGACTTGCTGCAAGTTTCCCATGCTGCAGTGGCTGCAAGGGCCTGGGAGGCACACCTGCCGCACACTGCTGGCTGGAGGTTTGCCTGTCACCCTAAGGACGCGACTGCATTCCCTGCCTGGAGGGAAGCCCCTGCAGCAGAACCACGACTCCTCTTCTCGGCAGTGACATGTACCACGCAGGTGAAACTGCCGATTCTTCCAAAACCTCCAAAGGGAGCAGGAGCCAGAAACAAAATGTCACTTAAGGTGGCTTTGAACAAACAAACAGCAGAAAAATGCTTTTGTATCCTAAAACTTCTATTTATTGTTTTAAATTAGATATATTTTAATACAATCCTGACAATAATAAGAGATAATGAATTTGGGAGCCATGAAAACAACACATCCACAGAAAAGGTTTTCTGAACATGCAACATCCAAAAACACTAATTCAGATTCAAATATGCAGAAATCCAAGGTATTTCTGATACTTTCCAGTGCCTCAGTGGTCCTCATCTTAACATACACCATGTATAATCTACGCTGTGAATGCCCTCAGTCTAGCATGCCAGCAAACACTGCCCCAAACACCCCAGCCCAGACTTGAGACAGTTTTCCTCCTCCAAGCTGGCTCTTGCCTCCTTGGTGGCCTTGTGCATTTCAGGAGACATTCTATGCAAAAAGCTGTTTCAGAGCTGCAACTCAGTGGTTCAGGAGAGCAAGATCTCTGAAATCAGATCCAAGCCTTACCTTCCTCATTTAGCGATGCTATTTTGCTCAAACCATTTCATCTTTCTAGGATTTAGTGACTATAAAACGCAGACAGACGCAGTAACTTCCTCAACACTAATCATGAGGATTGGACAAGGGACTGGAGGTAAACCACCCAGGGCAATGGAGGCTGCTCTATAATACCCTCCTCCCTGCGAAGAGCAGCAAACAACTCTCTCAGGACACAGACAGATACAAACAGCAATCACTCCATCACAGATACACACTCCAACTTTTTTTCTTTGTGTCATGAGGAAGGAGTTTGCAAGATTTTGTTTGCTGGCCTTGAACTTGCCATCCTTCTGCCTCGACCCTGATCAGTGCTGGGATTTCAGTGGTAAACCATTATACCCAGGGGAATTCGCATGTTTAAAATAGAAGTAATCTCGGCGTTAAAGTATATTTCTTTACTTCTAAACGCGAGTGACTGGTAAATTGAACCAACTTGTCACCCCTCCACCCACCAGACCAGACTCGGGCCCAGCACCCACTTGAGAATCCGGGTCAGATACCTAATTCTGCAGTTCCCGCGTTAGCAGGGAAACAAAGACCTCTGATTGCTTTAACTCCAGAGGCCCAACAGGAGAAACTTATTTACAGCTGGGGCCCTGGAAAAGCCAAGTGCCAAGAAGAGCGATTGGCACACAGCGGATGCATTAACGAGTGCTCCGGCTTATACCCTGGTGACCCTGCAGATGCTATAGGAGGCAAGAGGGTTTAGGGAGAGACCTAAGGAGTACAAGCAAACAGCGCTCCAGTGTGACTTCAAAGCACCGAATCCACCCGTCTTTGGGTGAAAAGAAAACCAAAGAAACCAAACCAAACCAAACCGCTTTGGACACTTTGTTTCCAAACCGAGCTCCGGGCCCCTGCTTGCCCACACCCCAGTTCCTGGGCACTGGGTCCCTCTAACCCAGTCAGGATCCAGCCACACCCAAACCTATTGGCAAAGCTCTCCCAAGTGCAGGTCCTGTGCCCGCTCAACGCCCGACTTAACGCCCGACCTCAACGTCTAGCTCACAACTTCCGGCTCCCAACGACCCAAGCCGGAGGCCACCTTGACGCCGCGCTCCTGCGCCCTGGTGCCCGGGCTCCTGACCTGGAGAGAGCGGAAAGGGCCGCTGACCCCGACTTGTCTCGGAAGCCTGGTCGTGCTGGCATTTGCCATACCCGCAGAGCCAGGAGCTTCACCCGCGCTCACCTCGCCTCGGCTGCCCAAGGCCGCTCTCGTGCGTGCGGCTGGCCCCGCGCCTGCGCAGTCGGCGCCCACGTGCGCCCGCCCCGCCCACGCGCCCAGGGCTGCAGGTGCTGCGAGGCTGCCCTGATGGGAAGCAGGTGCTTGCGGCCGTGCAGCTCGCGGATGCGGGGCTTTTCTCGCTTTCTCTAGAAAGGGGTCCCGGGAGCACCAGGGGCGAATTTCGAGAGACCCTCCCAGCTAAGGGCTCGCTTTTGGGTGTGCGTGTGAAACTTTACTAACAAATTCAAAAGAACGGCATCTCCACGTGCCTGTCGGCCACTTTCAAGAGGACTCATTGTCAATCGTGTCTACATTTGTTTGTTTTTCGAGACAAGGTTTCTCTGTGTAGTTTTGGTGCCTGTCCTGGATCTCGCTCTGTAGCCCAGGCTGGCCTCGAACTCACAGAGATCCGCCTGGCTCTGCCTCTTCAGTGCTGGGATTAGAGGCGTGCACCACCACTGCCCGGCTTGTCTACATTTTCATCCCAGTCACTTCTTGAGTGTTTAAAAGCATTGCCCAGATTTATGTCCGTATTCTTTTTACATTTTCATTTATTTTGTGCCATGGCACATATGTGGAAGTCGGGGGACAACTTTTGGGAATCAGTTCCCTTGTTTTGTTTTTTTAGACTGTGTCTCACTATGGAAGCCCTGGCTGGCCTGTTATTTGCCATGTTAACGGAGCCATTACTGAACTCACCACAGATCCACCTGCCTCTGGCCATTACTACTTGACCAGGGTGGCCATGAACTCAGAGATATCCCCGTGACTCTGCCTCTGGAATGCTGGGGTTAAGGGCATGGGCTAACCGTTAGGTCTCAAATCCAGAACAAATGGCTGAGATACCTAATTAACATACCAAATTGGACCTGGCCTCCAGGTTCTCCCAGCATCCCCCAGTCCCTACCTGTTAAAGGATATGGCTGGCATACCCCGCTCCCTACCCTAAACTTCTCCAGCCCAGGGGCTGAGCTGTCCTTCCCAATATAACCCAACCATTTTAGCTACCCAGTCTTTTACCTTTACTCTCCTGGTCTCCTGGCTCTCCCCTCCACCAGGGTCATGTTCTCTCTGGACTCTCCTAGATGTCTCTGCCTCTGCTGATGCTCTTCCTCAAATCTCTTAAAACAAACAAACAAAACAAAAACAAAAGCAAAAAACAAAAAAAAAAAAAACAAAAAAACTTCTCCACCATACCTAAAAACAGTCATGCCTTTCCTTTTTTATTTATTTTTCATTCAGCTGCCATGCCTGACATTGCCTTTTTCATTTTTAATAGATTGCTTTTAGACTAGTTTTACCTTTACAGAATGAAGGGATGGAAAAGAGTTCTCATGATGAAGTTACACAGTTTCTCCTACTCTGACATGTTAGTGGGATAAGGTCTTCACCTTTAAGGAACTATTGTCATTAACTAAAGTCCATAATTTATTTAAACTCCTGTCCACTACTATCCATCTTCTGAGCCAGAATCCAACATTACATTTAGTTATCTTTCCATGACTGCGGCAGTTTCTCCTGACTGGGAGTACTGATCAGCCTTTTGGAAGCATGCCCCATGATCATGAAGTTTGTCTGATGCAGCTCTCATGATAGGAACAGAGTGTGAAGTATTCGGAAGACCATGGAGGCAAAGTGACATTTTTATTGTATGACATCTGTGGGAACACTGTCAAAAGAGTGATGCATGGTGAACAATGCCTTGGGGAGCTGTGAGAGATGTTGAAACAGTGTCTGCTCATCACTCCTTTTTTAATAACATACCTTACTAGCAATGTTTGGCCAATTTGTTTTTAAAGTCAAACCCTTCTTTTCCTATGCATGCATGTATTTAGAGTCAGGGTCTCCTGGAGGTAAAGCTCAAAGTGTTTCCATCCTGCACCTTCCAAGCGTCTGGCTAACAGGTGTAAGCCACTACTCTCCACCCAACCCATAATCTGTCATAGGCATCTTAATTGCAAAATGTGTTGTAATACATTACCATCATTTAAGGAGGGAGGCGTCATATTCTTATCGAAAAGACTTTAGCATTGCATATTTTTCCTCCCCAGCAACTATGAAAGTAGTTTAACAGGAGTTAAGTTTTGCTTTTCAAATTGCCATTGAAGACGAGTCTTAATTATTTTCACTCACGACTTAAGTCTACATGGCCCTAAACTTTAAAACATCTTTTTACTGGATAGAGGCGGTTTCCAGAACCTCCAGACTGAAACTGCTCACCTTCCTTCCCTCCCCCAAACTGGACCTGGTCACGATAATTAACACCCTTCTTGCAGCCATGGAACCTGCTGGGATACCTAGCTCAGGAGCCTAGGTCCTCTGCAAGGAGACAGACGCATCCACAGCTTATGGGTAAACGATGGCACTGAGGATCGCAAGTCAAGGGTGTTACGGAAACGCTGCTCAGATCTCTCCCAAGGATGAATGCTCGCCTGCACAGGTAGGCTGCTGACTTGGCCCACCCACGTCCAGTGCAAAGTTTGCAGAACCGGGAAGCCACATCTCGAATTCTTTTATTACTTTATACCACTGACTCATTAGATGACCGGCCAAAGGGTGAGGAGGGAAGATGGCAAGTGAGTACTTCTTTTGACAGAAAGCCCCGGCTTGGGGAGGGAAGGACGAGAGCAGACCAGCCGGCCGGACAAGGGCAAGAAAGCCAGCCTGCCCCAGCCCCCTTGGGGCGTGGGTGAGGGTGCAGACGAGTTGCTGGGCAAGGTCTCTAGGCGCCGCGGGGGCAGAAGGAGGCGGTGCTTCGAAAACCACGCCCACCCAGGTGCTCGGCGTCACGCGGTCCGCGCCGCGCTGATTGGCTCCTCCGGGGAGTCCCGCCCCCTCAGCTGTAGCCGCGCCGGCTTCGGCGTCGCCGCCATCTTTGTTGATGTGTCAGCTCCTCGGGGGTGTTGAGGGGGACCTCGGTTGGGAGCCAGGGATCGGCCGTGGTCTCCACGCGTGACTTCCTCGTCCGCCCCGTGTCGGCGGGACCCGGCCATGGAGACGCTGGCCCGGGAGCCGGAGCTCCATCGGCCTCGGTAGGGCGCGGCCCGGGGCTGGGGACGGACGGTGAGTGGCCGAGGGGCGTCCGGGGCGGGCGGGCGG